TGGACAATAAGAAAGGAATAGTTGACCATACCTGTTTGATTAAAAAAAGAACATGGAGGGCCTCCCCGGTGGCGCAGCGGTTGAGCGCTGGGTTGCGAAGCTGCCCGCAGCCTCTGCAGCGCCGGTTCGATTCCCGGCTGCTCCCCGGCCACCAGAGGAGGGTCCCACATGGTGCGCAGACCTCTCCTGCCGCCCGCTGCTCCCCTCAGCAGTGTACTTCTGTCCTTCTGCCTGCTCTGCTCCCTGCTCTGGCTCTGGTGAATTCTCTCACCCTCCCGCGCTTCTGACTGTACCCAGTGCATGTATAAACGAAACAAACGAACAAATAAATAAATAAATAAATAAAAACATGCCTCTATAAAAAAAAAAAAAAAAAAAAAAAAAAAAAAGAACATGGAGCACTGCAATAAAAAATCATGCATTGTTTTCGGGACATTAATATATTAATATACTAAATATTCAAACCAGAGACTAATAGTGCCCTTTGGGTCAATAGGCCACTTAAGCATTTAGTTAAATTTATATGAGAACATTGCTTGAAAGATAATTGTAATGATATAAAATGACTCAGTTCAATGATTCCAGTGTGGCTTAAAGATAATGAATCTTTTGTATCATTCATCTTGGGAATAATAACATTATTGAGTTCTGTGACTGTTAATGAGCTTTTTGCTAGGAAGAGGAATAAATTACACAGAGAGATATTTTGATTATTATAAGCATGATATTTTAAAAAGTAATTAGAATGCTTGTGAGTAAATAGCAGAAATGGAATCAAATTTGATCATAAGGAAGTTTAATATTGCAACCATCATAATTTTGTAAAATTTAATTCCTTAATACAGCTAGAAAAGTTATAGAAGTTTTAAATAAAGTGCAGTTAGAAAAAATTTAAGATATTTTTAGTAATAAGGAAGATTTGAAAAATATGATGAGTCAGAGGATTTCCTTTATATACAAGATGCTCTCCTATATTTAAAAGCACCTCAGTTAGTAAACATAGTGTAAAATGGACCTCTTGATAGAAGATCTAGAATTTACTGCACTGTATTCAGTTAAATTAACATAGTTGGAAAACATAAACATGAAAACATATTTAATTAACTATTGGGGAATAATACTAATGAAGATGATTAATGAATATGAATATGAGTAATCTCTATGTTACTGGTTTTGAAAAGCATAGCCATTCCTACAAAAATGAGTAAACAGATTCTAATGTATAAAGAATATTTTAGTTGTTTCTGAGTTTCCTGGAAATTGTAATGATGCCCATTTAACCCTTGCTGAGCTTTAAGGTATATCATAGTCTATCATAAAGTAGAATACTTAGTAACTAAATATAAAAATAATTCAAGATGTCAGATATCAAGAACAAAATTTAATTTCAGTTAGAAAGGATAAATCTTGTATAAAAGATTTCTTATACACTTATTCTTGACCCAGATAAAATTTACTAAGTTTGAAGCAGAATATGAATAAGGATGGGAGGGGGTAATTAGCATGTCATCCCTCTACAAATCAGGGTTTTAAAGAATTGAAAAGTTAAATTTATGTTTGAAGGATTTTGTAATCTATAAAAGTAGTGTTATCTATGGATTACTATGGGGCAATTGTAAGACATAAAATATACCTAGATAATGAACAAGATGTAAGAGACACCTGTGGCACCTGCATCAAATGGACCCTCTATGGATTTTCCACAGCACTGGTAGACACGTTTTATGAGCTTACATGTATACTATTTTCCTCCTCTGCCTTTTGTCTAAGATTACTCCTAGTAAACTATCTGCAACAGAATCCTATTAGAAGTTGAACTTTGTAGTGGGAGGGGAGGCGGCAAAAGGCAACTCAATAGACAAATTTGCCATCTTCCAAATCAAAACAAATGACTCTTCTGACAGACAGGCCTAGTTTTCATTTTAGTATGTGATTTTGAGAAAAGTAATTTATTTTCCTTGAAGGTAGTTATGGAACACTTACTTGCTAACTCTGAGGCACATTAGTGCATAATAAGGGAGCAAGAATTTATTTTTGTGTAGAACTGGGGTGTAGGTGAGAGATATGGGGTAGGGGGAGAGGATTCACCAGAGACAGAGTGGGGAACAGAGCAGGTGGTTGACTGAAGTACACTGCAGAGGAGAGCAGCAAAGGAGACAGGAGAGGTCTGCTGCACCCTGTGGGTCAGCTCCCTGACTGGGGATTGAACTCATGCTGCAGTGGCTGGTGATAGCTTGATACTGCTGAAACTTAATCCCTGTGCCACCAGGGAGGCCCAAATTCAGATGTTTTCTTAGAAAGTATAAGGTGGCCTTGAGATGATAATGTGTTTGATGTATATGAGGAAAAGCAAAGCTAGAATTAACAGCTGTATCTCAACTCTTCCTTAAACAAAACCAAAGGACTACCCACCTGATGCCAAATTTGAGCTACTTTCCAAAGGTTGGATATTTTACTGTAAAATATCTATCTTAGATAACCAACATAAAAAGTTTCAAATTAAAAACCTTATTCTCTGAACACTGTTCTTTTCCAAACAAAGTATACATTTTAGAATTGCTTTCTTACATCTGTATGTCTACCATCAATCATTATTTATTATTTTGGAGATAAATGCAATTAATTACAAGGAAGTTTATGTTAGGGAATTGGCAGAGTTTACTGAGGTAATATGGTGATATCATTTTTAAATCATACAAAACAAATGGTTATAGAAATCAAGATTATCATTAATTTGGTACCGAATATATGTATTTCATAAAATAAATGTGTTAAGTATTGAGTTCCATGTTTTTAAAAACATCATCCTGTTTTTTGTGTTACTGTGTGAACTTACCTCAAAGGTTAAAATGCAATCAATGCATTAACAAAGAAAATTTTACATACATGGTATGGTGCTTGTAATTTTAATGGCTTAGTTATTTAATTGTATGTAACTTATTTATGAACATTAATGTATTTATATCACTCTTTATTCAAAGATGTGAGATAGTTAGAATATTCTGAGAGAAACAGATTTCTTAAAGAAGTATCTTATTCTAATGTTATGACTGCAAAGAAATATGAACTTCAAAAGTCCTATTAGTTATTTGATAAAGAGTGAACTTAAAATATGATGTTTTAACATTCTGCTGTGTGCCAGTTCAAAACTTTGTGTGTGAAATAATGGAAACGATGAAATGAAAGGTGATAGTATAAATGAGATGTTATACTAAATGAGCACATCTTGATAGAATAATATAAAATTGGGATCATATTTTTTTCACCTTGAAAAAGGAAACTATACCAGGACATTAAGAAGAATGAGGGGACATTGTCTATTTAAAGGATTCATATATTTTAAAATTAAATTTTACACAGTTCCTCAAATACTGATGTTACATTTTGTAGTTATCTTGGATATATCTATCATCCTAAATATTACAGAACGTATTTTCCCCACAGAAGCAAGAATTATAAAGGCTAGTGTGATATATTCTTACTTTTTAGGAAAGTAATATAGACTATAAAATGTGGATATGAAAGTACAGTTTTAAAATGCTTTTCTTTTTCTGTTTCCTCCCATTTCAGAGGAAGCTAGTTTCCTTTACTGTGTAGTTTTCTTAGAGACAGTAACACATGAGTTAAAATATAGTTTCCTTACAATTACATTTCCCAACTAAATTGTAAAACTGACATTTTTTCATTGCATATAAATATTGTGAGCTAAAATCCTGATTAATACATACCCTTAATTATAATTAATTTATTTATTTTTGTCATGGAATATAATATTAAAATGATAAATTTGGTGTTTTTATATATTTCATATATATTTATCATCCCAGTAAGTAAAACATTTTAGGGTACAAAAAGTAAAATAAATGTAAAATGAGTTCAATTCATCCAAACTCTTAAAATTTTAAACTATTACTTTTAAAAGGTGATGAAAAGGAACATACTGATATCTACACTGTCATTGGGTTTATTCTATCTATGTAGAAATGCCACTTAAATAGACAAAAGTGAATAGGGAGGAGTGAGGAAAGTTACAGAGGGAGTCTTAGCAGTTGTCCTTTTTTTTTTTTTATCTGTTACAATGAAATTTGCAGAAGAGTTGTCAAGAGCACAGAGGGCAAAAAAGTTGAGAAAGAATAAGTTTAGAAAGAAGTTACTGTGGTTTCTGTCAGTTGTGTCAACATTTTAAAAAATGAATAGAAAAGACATGGAATGGAAAGCAACTGTTTCACCTTAATGATTTTGTGCCAATTTTCATGAGAGAATGAAAATCTTATACAGGAGGAAATCTCATAAGTGAGATTCAGGAGGCAAGTTTGAACAGCATTGATATCTGCTAACTAATTAATTAAATTGCAAGTGGCTGAGAAAGAATTTAAAAATTCCTAAAAATATTAACTTCAAAGTTCCACAGGGGATTAAACCATAATATACTAAACAAATGAAAATCTAAAATAAGAGCATTGGTTGAAATTATTTTTATCACTTATTTAATCATCATAACATATTCTGTCTTACTTGAAAACATTCTGAGAGTGTTATAAACTGTGTTATTCCTGTTTTGATATAATACCTCATTATTATTTCTTCAATTACTTAAAAAATCAGTATTCACAATTGATAAAAAATAGAGGCCTGTAATTAAACTCATACACTACAACAAAGTAAGCAGGTAAATTGGTAAATTGTATAATTTATTTATGCATTTCTCTGGTTAGATTTCTAGCTTTTAATATCACTTTATCTCAAAAGGTTTGAATACAGAATACCCATGTTATGTTGATTAATGTTGTGAGTCAATAATTTATCTTAAAATTCAGTTCACTGAAAGTAATATTAAATTAAATCATCAGATGTTGTACCATCAAGGAAGGTATTTATCTTATAAATTCATTTTTCCATGTTTTGAGTCATGCACCACATAGAATTTTGGACATAATTCTGTTGTTCTTTGTTCACAATTGACCAAATTACTAATGGTTCTAATTCTAATTACATAGGAGGTTTAGTTTCTTTCAGACTCTTAGGTGATGATATAATGTTAATGCTATTTACTCTTACTCTTACAAAGCCATATTCAACACATTCGTTTCATAATCTAACTTCATGAAAATGCGTTCTATTCATACATATTTGTAAGCTTCATTTTGGCAAATCTTAAACTGTTTTAGGCAAATCCTACTATACTTTAGAATCCCTAACACTATAAATTTTAATTAGTAAATAATTTTCTTTCTTTACTATGATTATTTTCACACTTATGATTATAGAAAATTGATGTATCTTTTACATATGTGTTTTTTTAATACAGGTTCAAAACTTTTGACTTACTTCTTGTTCACTTTTTTCCTAGAGTCTATCATTTAGTCAAATAGAAAGCATTAATTTAAAGAATGTTAATAATTTATTTCATGAATTAAGAATTCAGTATATATTAACAATGTTATTGTACTTGATGTAAATATTTCCTGTTTTTGATGTTTATCAAAATTATACTGAAAAGTCTAAATATAAATAAAAAACAGTAAGCACCTTCAATCCTTTAGTATTCCAGGGATGAAAATATTATTTTACTCTAATTTTCAGACATTTGATCTGCATACATAATATATTTTTTCTAATTTGCCTTTTTTACTTAAAAGTAAGTGTGTCCATCTTTTCATACCAATGAATATAAATGGTTATCAAGGATTATAATAGAATTATAAACTCAATTGTATTAATGTACCATATTTATTTAACCAGGCTATTTTTGCTGAATATTAAGGATTTATAATTTTAATTTTGTAATTAGAAACTCATGGATGCATATCTTTGTGTCTAGTTGTATTATTAAGGTGAATTTCTGAAATTTGAATGCTTAATTAAAGATAATCTTGTTAAATTTATTTGTATACATAAAAAGAACATTTCTAAAAGACTGTCAATCAGTGTGTATTTTTTTAATTGAGGAAATATTGGTTTACCATATACTCTATGTTTCAGAAGTATAGATTCATACCCTTTCAGTTGTATTTTACCACCACCACCATTGTGTGTATATACGTTTATATACACTCATACATATCTATGTGGATAGATATATATGTACACAAACACATTATTCTCATTATGCCAACCTCCAAAACCACTGTGTATTATAATTTACTGCCTATATTAATAGCATAGCAAATAATTTAATGTTACATTTAAAAGTTTTCTGAATGATAATGAAGTTGTATATTTTTCATGTATTTATTGTCTACTATATTTTAAGCTTGCTGTAACCCTTGATTGGTTTTATATTGGGAATTAATGACATTATATTTTTATTAGACATCATTACTTAAAATGTTTAACATTATATTAAGAATATTTCATTTACCACAAAATTAGATATTTTTTAATGACTGGTATTGATCTACCATGTAGATTCTACATTTAATATATTCCCAAAAGTGCTGTAACACAAGTAAATCCATATAATCTTCCTCTCATTCACATGTTAGTTATCTTAATTTTGGATACAATATAAAATATATGACAGAGATCAGTATACTTTTCCTTAAATACTTTATTAGTCATTAACTACTTTAATTTGATTGTCTTACCTTCTGACGTAAAATTAATGTACAGTAGCATTTATCATTGACATACAATTACATACAAACCTAAGTGCACAGGCCAAGCTTTAATAATGCACACGGGGCCTCCCCTGGTGGCACAGAGGTTGAGCGCTGGGCTGAGAAGCTGCCCACAGCCTCTGTAGTGCTGGTTCAATCCCCAGCCAAGGGCAAGGTTCCCACACGGCGCACAGACCTCTCCTACCACGCCCACTGCTCCCCTCAGCAGTGTATTTTGTCAGTCTGCCTCTGTTCCCCACTCTGGCTCTGGTGAATTCTCTCACCCTCCCGCGCTTCTGACTATACCCAGTGCTTATATAAATAAATAAATAAATAAATAAATAAATAAATAAATAAATAAATAAATAAATAAATCTTTAATAATAATGCATACACATCTGTAAACAAAACATTAATGAAATTGTAGTAATTATTTTAAACCTTTGTATTTCATGTGACTACCTTTCTCTTAGCTCTTTTAAATGTTTAATATATTGTGCAGTTTTAAAATCCAATGGAATTTTCCCTTTTGTGCTTTCTGCTTTTGATTCTGTCGTAGAATAGCCAGTACTTCGACTATAAAATTATTTATTTTCTGGTAACTAATTCTTGTGTAACGATACACTGAACTAGATTCTTCTTGTTGTGTTGTTAAGCTGAGAGAAATCATCAATACCTAGCACCAGTAACTCCTTCCCATATTATAAAAAGTTCAAAACAGACACATTTTTCAAGGCTATTAACTAAATGCAGAACCAATCTTTTTTTTTTTTTTTAAGATTTATTATTTATACAAGCACTGGGTGCAGTCAGAAGCATGGGAGGGTGAGAGAATTCACCAGAGCCGGAGTGGGGAGCAGAACAGGCAGAAGGACCGAAGTACACTGCTGAGGGGAGCAGCGGGCGGAAGGAGAGGTCTGCATGCCATGTGGGACCCTCCTCCTCCAGTGGCCTGGGAGCAGCCTGGGATCGAACCAGAGCTGCAGAGGCTGCGGGCAGCCTGGCAACCCAGCACTCAACCGCTGCGCCACCAGGGAGGCCCTGCAGAACCAATCTTAATCAACGTAAAGCCAGAAAAAGTATGTTGGTATTTGTTAAATTGGAAAATGAGTACTCATGAAGCAGTATTACATTTCCCCCCTGTCAGTTGCTTAAAAAACATATTGAAAAAAAAAATCATGTATGAGTACCTAAACTTATAATTACTTTAATAACCATGAACTTTACATTTGTTCAGCTTTTAGATCTATCCTTGTCTTTGTTTTTTTTTTTTTTTGTCCTTGTCTAAAGTGAACTTTTTGACAAGTACAAATCTAAAAGCTTCATGATAGCTTTTCTACCTGCTGTTTGTAATAAAATCAACATGGATAATTTTGTTTTAAAAGGTATATCAAAACCAAAACTCAATTTTCTAACATAATTGTTTTTGACAGGTTATATTCAATGAAAAAATATGAAAGCAGTCCAAAAATGTATGTATCCTATTTGGAATATTTTATATAATAAACATAAAGAAAGTTCTGGGGCTTACCAGCAATAGATAATAAAGGCTAAGTTTAAATTAAAATTAGCATAACATTATTTCTATAGTAATTGGTAGTCTTCAGTATGATATATATAAAATGTTTCCAGGTCAATATGCAAAGAATACATAATTTTCAGTTCAAAATAGATTATATCTTCAGATGAAATGAGGTTCAAGAAATGTTAATAGTGACATTATGAAAATATTTTTCCAGGAGAAAACATATTGTAATTTATTAAAGGAAATTACAGTTTTCATACAGCAATGTTAAGAACTCATACGAGTATAAACATATTATCTTTTTTTAAACGTATAAACATATTATCCTTTTTTAACAAATGACTAACATTCACTTCCAAATCCAAGTTCCAAGTTCAGTTATTCTGTGAATCCTTCTGTTATCCCCTATCTCTAGAATAGACATTGCCTTTCCTTTCTGGTCCACTTTCCCCTTGACAATTACACTGGATTCCTGTAACCTTATTTTGTATGCCTATGTTTATACATCTGTCCCTTTGTAATGGGCTGTAACCCATATGTAACATATGGCATATGATGAATATGCTGAAAATATTTGATGAATCATTAATTATTAATTACTTTAATTAATACTTAATTGACCAAATTTTGTAATGAACTGAACATCTTGAGCAAAATGCATATTTCTCTTACAACTTAATTTGAGTATTACATGTTTCACATATATTAAAAATGTTTGTGCTATTTCTTAAGAAAACATACATTAGAATCTAATTAGAATACATAAAGTCCAGGTAGATCATTAATGATGGGAATTCTTTCAATCTTTATTATTGTTTTTATGTTTCAAATTTGTGGAAATACTTTCATCTCAGCCTTGCTGAATCGTTAACACTCTACGTAAGTTTTAGAAGAAATAGAAAAATAAAGACTGGCAAAATTTAAGAAAAAGTTTAACTTCATATAAAACATATAATTATATTCTTTAAAAACATGCATTCAATTTAATACACAAAATTATGCATTCACATATAAAGACCAATAAAAATCACACATATTTCATTGCATATTGTTATTTTCTTCATATCAACTTTACATGACCCAGTATAAAAGCAGAATGCACAAATGAATAGGTATTTATATTTAATTAACCATTTTTAAAATTTATTATATGTTTTCACAATTCTATATCGGATAGTTTAAAAACTGTCACTACTTTCCACATTATTGTTCTTAATATTGATGTGTTATTACTCATAAATGATAATGAAAAATATCTTACTCTTTACATTTATACACTTGTTCACTTTTGAAACTGAGCTGAAGTTCCACAAATCTGTGTTTCAAGGAAGATTAACCACCAGTTCAATTTTTGTTTCATGTAGAAATTCATTTCAAGCTATTATTCCATCCTAGATTTCAAGAATTTGATTGCATTACAGTGAAAAAAGGGTTAATGTCTCTTGGATGGAATTAGAATCTACCGAATGCATTGACTGGGCACATTTCTTATTATTTTGAAATCTTAGCAAGAATCACAGTAGAACAGACTGTTCTCTTATTGGTATAGTTGTCTCTGGGAAAAAAGCATAATTTACTGTGGCCATGGGAATTCAATGTACAGTGAATTGTACACTGAATTCACAATTGTACAGTGACTGATAACAGAGTTTTATACTGTTTCATATTGCCAGCCTTATATAGTTTCTTTATAGAGATATTAATTTTGTTGTTGCTGCTGTTATATTTTTTGACAAACCAAAATGTAAGGTTCAAGTATGAACCTTGGTAGTAAAAATAATCACAAATTGATCTTAATATGTTGAATGCTAATGTATGTGGAATATACTTTAAAGGAAAATATATATTTGTTCTCATGAAACTTTATAAATGCCATTATATAAATGTCCCAAATTTAAATTTCATTTATAACTTTCCAGTTACCTAAGTCCAATTATTCATGATATATTGATTTATGTTTAGATATTTTTTATTCTATTGTTATATGTATATGATAAAATTTTGGGGAAAAACAAATTCATATTTTCAGGTAGATAAGAAAAGTAAACTATATAATATGAGTTATATTAAAACCTCAATGTCACTTTTCTTTGTAAAACAAAATTTCCCATGGCTCATCAAAAAAGAAAGCAGTTCCAAAAATTGCACATGAGAGTTAATAGTGCTACAGATAGATTTTTCACTCTTGCTTTAATATATTTGCTTTATATATCTTAGGAAAATACTTTACACAGCCAGTATATTTATGTAAATAATAATATATTTCATTTATATTAGTATTATTAATAGAAATTAGAGATAAAAATTCAAAGTGGAGGTATGTACCTGCCCTGTAAAACTTAAAAATGGCTATGGTGGAGGATTATGGATGCCTTTTTGGTAGGTGAGGTGTGGTAACATATACCTGAAGAGGTGAGATGTTATATTTCTGAATCATAGACAGTAGTATAAACCAATGTTAACTTGCTAAAAATAAATAAATAAATAAAACAGGGGAAACCTTATAAAAGTGGGAAAAAGTTGATATTCAGATCAAATTCAATGCAACCCCTATCAAGTTTGTATAACAGTCTTCAAAGAATAGAATAAAATTTACTAAATTTAATACAGAGCCACAAAAGATTCTAAATAGTCAAAGCAGTCCTGACAAAAAAAAAAAAAAAAGAACAGAGGTACAGCCCTCCCAGACTTCAAAGCTATTATAATCAAAACGGTCATGTTGGAATAAAAATATACACACAGACCAGTGGAATAGAATCAAGAGACCAGAAGTACACTCACACTTATATTATTTTATAACAAAGAACTCAAGAGTGTATGTGTATATGTGTGTGTGTGTGTGTGTGTATGAAAGTAAATTCTCTTTGCTAAAGATGAAAGGTGTTGGGACAGATACGCAGCCACATGTTAAAGAATGAAACTGGACCACTATCTGATACCAGACACAAAAAATAATTAAAATAGATTTAAGATTTGGATGTAAGATCTGTAACCATACACCACATAGAAGAAAATAGGCAAGACACTCTACAACATTGGCTTTAGTGATATCCTTGGGAACTCAACTCCAGTAACAAAGGAAACAGTAGCAATAATAGACAAATGGGAATATAGCAAACTAAAAAGATTCTGCACAGTGAAAGAAACTATTAATTTTAATGAAAGACACACTACTGAATGGGCGGCAATATTTATACATAATAAATCTCACAAAGAGCCAATATACAGAATCTACAAAATCTTACACAACTCAAAAAAATAGTAAACATGGAACTCAATCAAAAAATGGGAAGAAGATATAGACATTTCTCCAAGGAAGACAATTGCATGACCAGTAGTAAAATGGAAGTATGGTAGCCATCATTACTATTATTTATCGTCAGGAAAATGTAATCAATTCAACAATGAGTACCATCTCATTCCCATAAGAGTGGCCCATATCAAAAATACCAGAAACAACAGTGTTGATTAGGATGTGGAGAAAAAATAGCCGCTCATATCATTTTGTTGGGTATGTAGACTGGCACTGCCCCTATGTAAAGCAGTTTGGAAGTTTTTCAAAATACTAATTAGATCTACTGATAATGCAGTAATTCCACTCCTAGATGTCTACTGAATAATATGGGGATGCTAATCCAAAGGTATATATGTACTTATATGTTCATGTAGCACTGTTCACAATAGTCAAATTATGAAAACAATCTAAGTGCCCAGGGATAAATTGTTAATATAGATGATGTGGTATAGATATACAAAGGAATACTACTCAGCTCTGAAAAATAGATTAAATCTTGTCTTTTGCCACAACATAGATAGAACTAGAGGAAATATGCTAAACAAAATAAGTCAGAATGGGAATGATAACTTTGGGAAGACTTCACTCACTTGAAATATAAAGAAAGCAAACAAAAGAACAAACAAAACTAAACCCTGGAAATTTGATTATGAAGTTGAGGCAAACAAGGGAAGGGGAGGGTGGGAAGCAAAGTGTTGAGGAGGGATACCAGTAGGCTGTTGTAGAGGATTATGGATTCTTTGGTTGTATGTGTGATGTGGTAACATACATAAAAAGGTGTGAACCTGTTCCTGTGAATCATGCAGTATTGTAAACCAACATTGCCCTAAAAAATAATGCAATGTTTTATAAAAAGAACATTTATACTATTATAAATGTATAAGGTGTGATACACACATTGAAGGAATAACAATGAGCAGCAAATTCTTGCCTAGCATACAAGAGTCAAGGATAGGATCTTCTTGCATATTTTACCTAACCTACTGGCAAGTCTGCCATACTTGACACGACAACAGGGTTAGGCAGAAAAGGTTTTAAATTAAAGGTTTGCTGAATACCCTAGTTTCATAGTGAGTTAAAGAGTACCTAAAATTTATAAAGTGCCCTATGGGGGCGTTGTAGGTGGTCAGAAGTTCATTATGAAAAGGTGGTATAATCACCACCCTCCCATTCCAAATAAGGAAAGTGAGATCATAGCCAGACCTCATAAATGGCAGAGGAAAAAGTGGAAGCTAGGTCTATGATCACTTTTACGCTTTCTAATCTGAGAAATGTATATGAGGTACAAATCAGAAGTCATTGCCAGCAGGTGTCAGCAAGAGATAACTAGTCTGAGATATTTGTGAAAATTAGAGGAATCTGGGTTATTTAGCAAGTGATCAAGAATACCATAATTTTTTTTATTTCTTCACCACCATGAGATCTTGAAGATAGGTTCTCCTTTCTCCCATGAGTACGTCCATTTTAGGGAGATAAACAGAGGGAAGGAGAAGATGTCTGAGAGACTAATCATTTTTTCCTAGGAGACATTGACTATATAGAGAGGTTAAATAATTAATTCATGGCCAGAGTCAGTAAGTGGCAGAGCTGAGATTTGAATCTAGGCTGTTTCCTTATAGATGATGTGTTATAACCACCAGATTACTCTTTCC